CCCACTTCACCTGGCAGACTGTACTTGGCTCACACTACAGGCCTGGATCCCACACCTCCCAAGAGTGAGTCAGGTGGCAAGAGATGTGTGAGTAAGTGAGCGTGGGATCCAGACACTGAGCACAGCAAGGCATGAGATAGGGTTGGGCAGCTCTAGGTGCCAGCATGAGTGCCAGCTCCCTATGAGGCTGCAGCTGGACCAGGTGCACCACAAGCAGCTTCCACACCTGGCACTGGGGAATGTGGTGGCACCAAGAAGCTTGGAGACCCCAGGAATCCCAGGTCCCAAAAGCGGAGTCACAGCCCTGGCTCAGTGAGCTCCCAGGTTTGAGCTTTCTGAATAGCTACAGCTCTTTTCTCCTTCTCTTGGCCCACAACATGGCAAGCAATGGGCATGATTCAGCCTTGTTTGTGTTACAGATTTTTAGCCTCACCATTCAGTAGATCCCCAGTTCTTGTCCTGCATCCAAAATGAATGAGGTATACAGACAAGTAGAAGGTGAGGAGGACAAAAAGGAGATTTTTAAAGCAGTAGAACAGCTCAGAGACCTGTATTGGGCAGCTCCTCTCCATAGCCAGGTTGTCCTGACACCTGTTCAGCTCTCAGCAGAGAGCAAAGCTCCTTTCTGCAGCTGATTATCCTGTCCTCTACTCAGTTCTCACAGAGAGGAGACCCTGCTGAGGGCAGCCCCACTCTGCAGCTGAGAAGAGATCCTGGGGAAGGCAACTCCTCTCTGCAGCAGGTCATCTCTCACTCCCTGTCCTCTCTATCTGCTCTCTCCATCCTCTGCACAAGTCTACCTGAGCCCAGGACTTTTATGGTACTCAGATGGGAGGAAATGCACACAGCCATGGAGCAGGCCCAGTAAAGGCACAAGTTCCCACTCCTGTCAGCAGGATAGGAAGCCAGGGAGCCTTCAGGTCCTCCCTGGCTAAAAGGAGGGGACTCACCAGTGACCTGCCCATTTCTGCCTAAGAGGCTGTCTGCCACCCACCACGGTCCATGGCACACAGACTTCTCATGTGGGAACCTGTAGGCCAGTGCCAGTTACACTCAGCCCGTCTTCCCTCTGATTCCTTGTGACTGAGGTGGCAGGAGGCTGGTATGTCAATGCTGCCATGAGCATTGACACACCAGGCCAGGCTGTGACAGCAATTGGGCTTGGCCCCAACCCTGCTCAGATCAGGCTGTGTGCACAGGAACTGGGAACCAAGAGAGGCCAGTCAGAGGGACAGACACCTCCAAGACTGCAGGGACAGGGAGGTCTTCTTTGCCTGGAAAGCGTGGAGTGCAGAGAGGCCTGGATCATGCTGCGAGGAGAGTAGGGCTCCCATCAGATCATGGAGCCTGTAGGTAGCCTCTGTCACATCTCCTTGCAACCTAGGGTGGGCAGCTCCCCTTGCTGGACCTAGACCGGCATCAGGGGAAAGGCTGATGTCTCTGCAAGTTCTTCCCCTAGCACTCAGGGGTGCCTGGGGCTCGCCCTCACTTGGAATGGGTGAGGGAGGCGCCTTGGGGAGCAGATTGCTGCCCTGGCCTGGCCATTGGGAGCATCAGGCTCAGTGTCTGCCTGTGGGGACATAACCCTGGATGGCCTCAGGCAGAGCCTCCTCCTCAGATGCAGGAACTGGGCACCCTCAGTAGGGTGTGACAGTGGCCTTGCTGCTGGCTGACACCCCAAAGCTGGGCCACTTTCAATTCCTACGTGGGGCCCCTGAATTGAACCCCAGCTCCATGCCCTCCCCACAGCTGCAGGGAGAGTGCGGCAAGGCAGAAGTAGTGGAGGCTTCAGGCCTGGGAAAGGGTTCGCCTGCTGCTCAAGGGTTAGGGCAGTGCAGTCTGCTGCCTCAGAGAGTCGAGGCACTGGGGACAGGGGTCCCAGTATGGCCACTGGTCCCACAGTTGCTTCTGCCATGACTGCTTACAGTTTCCCGCTGCAACTGACCACTCTGGACAGCTGCCACTGCCGTCATCACCATCTTTTATCCGTTTATCCTAAAATACTAAGGTGAACCTCAGCTGGCTTTCCTAGGTTACCATCATCACAGTTAGTTTCTTTTCTAAATATTGTTTCTTCTCTTCTTTTTTTTTTTTTCTTTTCTCTTTATCGTGTTTTTCTTCTTCCTTTTTTTTTTTTTTTTAACAGAATCTCCCTTTGTCCTTCAGGCTAGGGTGAAGTGACATGATCTTGGGTCACTGCAGCCTGGACCTTCCAGGTTCAGCAACCCTCCCACCTCCCAAGTAGGAAGAACGGAATTAGTTTCTAAGTAAATTATCATTTTCTGTTGACCAAATTAAATGTGATATTCTGGTTGCAACTGCAAAAGTTCCAGTAGTACTGAATTATTATTGGAATATAGAGACATAGTTTATTCTCAAATCCAGCAACAATACTGACTTTTACCCAGGAAAGTTTGAACTGTTTTGTTTTTCTTTTACTTTGTTTTGAGAAAGAGTTTTGCTCTTGTCATCCAGGCTGGAGTGCAATGGTGCAATCTCAGCTCGCTGCAACCTCCGCCTCCCAGATTCAAGAGATCCTCCTGCCTCAGCCTCCCAAGTAGCTGGGATTACAGACATACGCCACCATGCTCTGCTAATTTTGTATTTTTAGTAGAAGTGGGGTTTCTCCATGTTGGTCAGGAGGATCTCAAACTCCTGACCTCAGGTAATCAGCCCAACTCAGTCTCCCAAAGTGCTGGGATTACAGGAGTGAGCCACTGTGCCCAGCCAAAATTTTGAACATTCTGTATTAATGGAACTGTGTTTTTCCAAAGTAAATGAAACACTTTTTTTCTTCAATTTTGAGATGATCAAATAGACTACTTTATGATGAGAAATCTGAAATAATAATTCTGAGCAATAGTTTATATATAGGAATTTTGAGGTCACTGTTACCTTTAATAAGAAGGAGATTTCTCAGGAGCTACGGGCATCATCACATAAGATAAACACAAATGTTGTCATTTCCAGAGGAGGGTAAGGATGATGATGGGAATCTTTTGAAGGAACTTGAATTGCTACACTGTATCTTCCTCATAATGTGTAATGCCACCTTTCATTAAAAGAAGTAGTCTTATTGCTATGCACATCTATAAATTATATGAATATACATAATTTCGATACAAGGGACATTATCCTCAGAAACAGAATGTGAAGGAGTATGATATAGTGGGTGAGCTTGAGGGGTATATGATTTGGTTCAATCTATAGTGAACCATTTACTTGCTTTGTATCTTTGCAAAAGTTGTTTTATCTCCATTGTTTTATTCTCTTCACATGTAAGCATGAAAAGGATGTTTATTTTACTGAGCTGATGGGAGAATTAAATAAAAATATGAAGTATAGAAGCCCTTAGTGCAATTCTGAGTACAAAGAAAAATGCTCATGTTTATTGCAGCATGGTGAGAATCCTGCCCCTGGAAACATTAAGGCACATAAGGAATGAGTGCCTATCAGAACTGTGGGGGAGTGTGGATTCATGCAGAACTTTATATGTATGGTTATACACTGAAGTTCATTCTGAATCTTAGATGTTACATTTATATTAGCATAAAGCTAATAATTACATAAATGTAGAATTATATGTATAAAATTATATGATACGATCAACTGATGTAATTCATAGATTTTCTGTAGGGTTCCCTTTCCTGAACATTCTGTAACATATTCATTAGAAAACTTCCCTTATGATAAACAAGAGAAGCATAAGGGTAAACGGTCTTAGCGTATGTCAAATGAGGAAATCATAATGGAAACCAGGAATGGGAGATCCCACAATCTTCACATGAAATATTTCAAAACAGAGCTGTTGTGTCAACAGCGACTTTGAGTCCTTGATCGATCTCTTGGACCCCTGAACGCTTTGTTTGCACAGTTGCCCTTATCACATTGTCAGGGTAAGTGCTGTACTCAGGCACCTTCAGACCCTCCATTGCACATAGGTGGCCCCTGCAAGTTCTTTCCCTGTGTGTGTTCTGGAGGTGCCACTAAATTTGGGGACAGCATCAGGAGACACTTGCAAAACCTTTTTACTCAAATTAAATTATTAACTAACTTTCCATTTCCTTTAACTTATTACAGACATCCCTACCTGGAAACAGGTACAGATTACACTCTCTAATCAACAGTGGTCATTCTGTCATAGCATCAGATACACGGGGCTGCTGCTCCTTGAGGTGTCCACAGACTCACAGCATTTTCCAGTACTGAAAGACCTGAAAGATCACAGGGCCTTCATTTCAACTGTGAGACATGAAGCAATTTTCCCAAATCTACAGCATTAAGATACAGTGCAATCAGGACCAGATTAAAGATCTCCGGGCCAGGGGCGGTGGCTCACTTTGGGAGGCCGAGGCAGGTGGATCATGAGGTCAAGAGATCGAGACCATCCTGGTCAATGAGGTGAAACCCCGTCTCTACTAAAAATGCAAAAATTAGCTGGGCATGGTGGTATGTGCCTGTAATCTCAGCTACTTGGGAGGCTGAGGCAGGAGAATTGCTTGAACCCAGAAGGCGGAGGTTGCGGTGAGCCAAGATTGTGCCATTGCACTCCAGTCTGGTTAACAACAGGGAAACTCCGTCTCCAAAAAAAAAAAAAAGATCTCCGGATTTACAACCATGTTCCCTGGTCTCCTTTACTCCTAAACACATTCACTCCTGCAAATACTTCTGCTGTCAAGTGAGAAAGGAATCCCCTTACAAGGCTCAAACTTGCAAACACATCACTGACCAGCACAGAGCTGGCTCACAATACAGACCCAATTAAAGTGTTTTACATGAAACTGGATCAAACCTTTTTCAAGACTTTTTCAAGGATTTTAAAACAATCCTTTATAAAGAAGAAAATTGTTTCAGAAGAAGACCTTCATACTGCATCCCTGACCAACAACTAATGATGCTATTGAACTCAGATGCTGATTGGTTCCCCAACATGAAATTACCCAATCCAGGAACAAAGAAATGAGTACCTTACTCCCTATTTGGGGGATGTGAGTTGAGGGAGGTCATAGATCTCCCTGAATGAGACTTGCTTGCTTCTCTGGCACCTGGTTCTCTCCTACTATCCAGCATGGTGTGTCTGAGGCTCCCTGGAGGCTCCTACATAGCAGCGCTGACAGTGACACTCATGGCGCTGAGCTCCCCACTGGCTTTGGCTGGGGACTCCCCACGTAAGTGCACATTGTGGGTACTGAGCTACTATGGGGTGGGTATAATAGGGAGCTAAATTTGTTACTGTGCCCAGACCATGTCCCTCAAGAAATTGTGACATTTTCTTCAGGGATTGTCCATCTCCATCTTTATCATATGGATACCAAATTATTTCCACCACAAAAAGGAGCTGGACTACTTGCCCTCTCCATGAGACTTGTGTAATGGGCCACGATACAGGCCATTTCTTTTCAAATCTCCAACAATAAAATCTTGCATCACATTTCATCGGGGTCTATAGAGGATTTAGAAATAAGGATGCTAAAATAATTTCCCATATGGCACTTCTGTTTATTACGTTGACTTATGTCAGACAAAAGGAGGGTTTTTTCCTAAATATTTTGTGTGAGTCAATGGAATTTAAAGAGTCTGTCCTAGACGACCCTGTATTATGTTCTCGAAAGGTCCTGTGATATTGGACCCGCTTCCTCATCTGTGAGGATGTAGCCAGGGGCCTCCCCATCATCTCCTTTCTTTTCTTTCTGAAACGCAATGTATATAAAGCCTGTATCCCTGTAGCACATGTAGGTTCTCTGACAACAGTTATATACTTAGTGCTCTTCCTTTCTCATGGGAAAGGAATTCCTGGAACTGAAACTGAGCTCTTTAGTACTTGGCATCACCCTTCAGATAAAGAGCAACCATGGGATGTTCTTTGGTGCCTACAGAACTTAAGGCATCTTCTGAAAACCTGGCCCAAGTTAGTGTTTATTATGAATCTTCTTTAACCTTTTTGTACTAGTTTCTCCTAGATCTCCCACACACTCTAACTAGACTCCACACAAAGACATTCAATGAATGCAGGATAAATTATATGAAATTCTATTTTTGTAAGTCAAAAATAGTCAAATATCAGAAATTTCATAATGTCCTAAACTATAGGCTCTGTGTGGGGCTACAGAGAGAATGTGCACGTTGTTCACGTGGCATAGGGCTCAAGGTCAATGAGCAACTCCTGGAACTCATTGTCTTACTCGTGTCTTGTCCTAAATTTCACAGGTTCCCCCATCGTGCCCTCAGCTTTCCTTAATTAGCCATGTCTGCTTGGCTCTTCCTCCAGTTTCTCTCTATTTTTCCCCAGATATATTGTCATAATTTCCAGAAATCCCTAAAGCTTACACAAACCCTTAGCATTATGAGATCCACTGAAAGAGATTTTTTTTCTTTTCTGATACAGGGCCTGGCTGTGTCACCCAGGCTATAGCGCAGTTGTGCTATCTCGGCTCACTGCGATTCTGCCTCCCATGCTCAAGTGATCCTGCCTCCTCAGCCTCCAGAGTAGCAGAGACTACAGGCAGGCAACCGTGCACAGCTAATTTTTGTAATTTTGGTAGAGACGAGATTTTGCTACATTGCCCAGGCTGATCTTAAACTCCTGGACTCAGACGATCCTCCTGCTTTGGCCTCCCAAAGTGCTAGGATTATAGGTGTGAAACACTGCACCCAGGCAAAATGAGATGAATCTTAATTTTTAAGGAAGTTCTTTTTTCTTAAATCATTCTTTCTGTGTCTATAAATTCTTCTTTTAACTAGAAGGAGGAGAAAGAAGAAGTTTGCCTGTATTTCTCACAGGGAAGAGAAGGGGGAGAGTGTGACATCAAAATGAAAGGGTGCTGGAGCTTCAGCCCCTTCTTGCTTTCCAGGACCCCCACAGTGATCAGTTCCAGACCTTAGTTTATTCATGGAAACCACACTTATTTTTCTCAGCAGCAGCTGTTTACTGGGCTACATTCTAGGTTCAAATCATTCTGTCCGATTAAGACAGAGCGGGCCCCTACTCTCCAGGACTTTACACAACAGTGGAGAGATAGACTATAACTCAATAAGCATTTAACAAAGAAGAAAATGTTAGAGAGTGCGCCAGGCACAGTGGTTCACTCCTGGAATCCCAGCACTTTGAGAGGCCAAGGTGGGTGGATCACAATGTCAAGAGATGGAGATCATCGTGGTCAACATGATAAAATCCCATCACTACTAAAAAATACAAAAATTACCCGGGCAAGGTGGCACATGCCTGTAGTTCCAGCTACTTGGGAGGCTGAGGCAGGGAATCGTTTGAACCAAGGAGGCAGAGGTTCCATTGAGCCGAGAGCACACCACTGTACTCCAGCCTGGTGACAGAGTGAGATTTCATCTCTCAAAAAAAGGAAAATGTTAGCGAGTCATAGTGCCCTGAAGAAAAGACATCAGGTTTGTAAAAAGAGAGAAATGGTTCACCCAACTTTAGTTCATATGTTTAGGGAGCTCTACCTGAGAAAGTGACATTTAGCTGAGACAACAAAGTAAGTAGACACAGGGAGAAGATCTAAGGGACAAAAGTTCCAGGGAGACAGAATTGGGGGCTAAGCCCTGGTGTGGGAAGTTATCTGCAGGGACAGAAGGCTAGAGGGACTGACACATAGCAAGCAAGGAAATGGAAAGGCAGAGGATGAGGTAGGGCACAGAGAGGGAGTCAGGAGACTCATCATATCAGGCCCTGACATCCATGGTAAGAAATTTGAATTGTATTTTATTTTGTTTATTTTTCTTTATTTTATTTATCTATTTATTTTTTGAGATGGAGTTTTGTTCTTGTTGCCGAGACTGGACTGCAATGGCATAGTCTCGGCTCACTGAAACCACCGCCTCCTGAGTTCAAGTGATTCTCCTGCCTCAGCCTCCCAAGTAGCTGGGATTACAGGCACCCATCATGATTCCCGACTAATTTTTTTTTTAATTTTTAGTAAAAACAGGGTTTCACCATGTTGGCCAGGCTGACATCGAACTCCTAACCGCAGATAACCTGCCCAGCTCGGCCTCCCTAAGTGCTGGGATTACAGGCGTGAGCCACTGCACCAGGCCTGAATTTTATTTAAATAGATATGGGAAGCTATTGAATGTTTACAAGGAGAGTCCATTTATATTCAATTTTTAAAATGAATTCTAGCTACTATGTAGGAGTTGGATTGATTGTTGGGGTTCACAAGTGGTCAGGAAGAGAATTTAGGAGCACAGAAGGGAATCCTCAGAGAAAACAGGCTCATGGCTTCATGGACTGTGTTAGTGATAAAGACGATGAAAAAGTAAAGTGGACAGACTTGGCATGCATTTTTGCTTAACTTCTTCATGGCTTCCTATAAAGGTGGTAGAAAAAATGAAGCTTATTCCTAAGGATTTTGTTTTGAGAAGAAAGTGGATGGTGGTGGTGTTTATTGAGACAGGGAAAACTGTGGCAGGAAATGGTTTGAAGTGTGTGGTTTGAAGTAAGACTTTTGCCTAAGTTTGAGATAATTTATCAATATTTATCGGGAGCAATCAGAAGATCAATGGCATTTAAGAGACTCATGGTGAGGCCAGGGCTGTAGGTATTTATGTTGGCGACATCAGTACGTGTATTGTGTTAAGTTCCAGGGAGTGGAAGAGGTTATGTAGGGAGATATATTGTGTGGAGAAAAAAGAAGAGGGCAGAGGCCAGGAAAAGGGACTGAAAAAGAGCCCAGGGGTGTTGCAGAAAAACCAAGAGAACATAATGCCTGTAAGTCAAGAAAAATAGACTTTTCTTTTTCAAGGAAAGGGGAGAGGCCAATTTTGGTGAGGACCACTAAGAGGAGGGTGAGGTGAGAATGTGACAGAGAAGCAAGGGCTGGGTTTGCTGGTGTTGATATTTGCAGTCACTGGAGGATCCAGGATGGAAAATGGATTGGACCATCTGAAGAGAGAGTAGAAGTGAGGGCGAGGTTAAGGTTGACTCTTTTGAGTAGCGACTTCAGGAAAGGACTGTGCTGAGTTCAGGGAGCCCGCTGGATCTAAAGGAAAGGCAAAAGGGGCTGAAGAGAAGCAGGAGGACCTGTGAACCAGAGATGTTCAGTCCTTACTGGCAAGGAAATACTAGAGGGCCCTGTGTGCAGTGGTGATTGCTCATGTACAAGGTCACACAGGCAATATTTTACACAGCCCATATTTACTGGTGACTTAAAATATACCAGTTATTACTCTAGGTCATGAGAATGGAGTAATGATAAAAATGAATCTGGTCTCCATCAATATATGCCATGTAACATTTTGCAGTGACTGTGTACCAGGCCTATGAATTTCAGTATGCAATTTCAATAATGATCCTGTTGTATCTGTGGTGTTTAAAAACATATATGTCTCTGGAATCTAAAATTGAGAGGGCATAAGTAAAACCCTGTATTACAAATCCAGTGCTAGAGAAAATCAGATTGCAGTTTAAATCTGAACATGTAGAAAGTAAAGTCCCTTGCTTGTATGTCAGCAGATGCTTTTTGTGTGAAATTTGTTTAGATATACTGCTTTATTAGACATAAACCAGTGTTTCTGCCCTATGTTTTCAGAATGACAATTCTTTATGATACTAATAGAGCAGAAGATAATTGCAAAATCATGATGAAGATACTAATTGCTTTAGAATGAAGAACAGAAAACCTAATGTCAGCTGCAGTTATAGGGATCAAAAATATTTAAATTATAATATATTCGAGTGTTTCTTATGTGATTAGTGCTAAGAAGAGTCATTAACTAATTTCACACTAACAATAATATTATTCAATGTACTTGATAGATTACAGAGAAGATTATGGTTGGTAAAAATGGACCCAAGTAAACGAGGTCATGTTTCCACTCAGATTTCCTGATTCTATATATCAGAGTCTGTCCATCAATCTAGTAGTAACTACATTGTGTCTGAATTATTGACAAAATTTCTAATATTCATATGTACCATGTTGTTTCTTAGAATGGGAGCAGAAATCCAAGGGCTGCTAGTTCCGAGGTAAAGGAGGAACTTTCATTCATTTTGCATTTATCATTATAAAAGTTGTATATGTCTATCATGGGCATGTCATGAGGAACACAGAGAAGTAATAAATCACTCCTTCTTCTGAGATTTGACTAGAAAGCTGGACTAGGGTTTCCAAACCATAAATGCAGGTTCCTAGATAAATCTGCATTTCAGATGCACAACCAATCCAAACTTACCTGGGCATCCTCTGGTTTTATTTGCCCAATCTGTCAACCCTAAGTGGGACACATGAGCAGGGGTTACAGGACTAGCCATGCAAGCCACAGTGACAGTGACTTCACACTTTTTTATGTTTTAATGTTCTTTCTGTAAGGAAAGTGCTTAGATAATTTACCAATAAAAAGACACCCATTGTTTGATCCACGATGCACTCCTCTCTGCCATTGTTTCCAAAGGGCAAAGGGAGCTTTGTGAAGGTCTTACTCAAAGTCTGGGGACCTGATCATTTTCTGCAAATTGTCTGTATGAGAATATCATTTTCTTAGTTTCTCCCTTTCTGGGGGTACTTGACCTCAAAACTGACAGTTCTACCTCTGGCAAAACTGGTAATTTGACGCCTGATGGTATTGTTGGGAATGGGAGACTGAAAGAAATGCATTAGTTGGGATGTTAAATGGGAATAAAATAGCTGTGGTTGTGATTCATTACTACGGATAATTAGTGGACCAGTGGCAGAGAAACTAAGAAAGAAGATAATATGGAAGATAAACGATATGATTTAGTGATTGATTGGTAAGGCCAAAAAAAAAATCAGTAAATCTTGGTTCTCAACAAGTTCATTTTCTGGAAAGAGAGGATTATATTGGGACCAGAATTCTATAAAACATTCATTTTATGTAGGACCAAGATTTTCAACTGATATTTTTCAATGTAATTCTCAACTACTCCATAACTAATAGTGACTTGTTCAACACAGAGTTTTTCAGATGGTTCACACCTCTGGTTCTTACCCAGGGATAGTTCACCACCTCTCCCTTGCCTCCCATCACCCTTAGGGAATGTGTGGCAATGTTTAGAACAATTTTTGGTTGTCACAAAAGGGGTTTCTTCTGATACTTGATAAGCAGAAGCCAGGGACACTGCTAGAGAACCTGCAATGTTGAGAAAAACCTCCATAACAAACAAATAATTATTGGGTCAAAAATGTCAATAGTGCTGAGGCTGAGAGGCCTGGTTCACAGTGTGTTCTTCCTGAAAATTCCAGACTTATCATTTATACACTCACCTCCCATTTCAGTTTTTTATGGTTTATTTTTGTTTGTTTCATTATAAAAAAACTAAACAGTTGCATAAATTCAACCACTTTCTTGTTCAATCCATTTAGTCAATGCAAATTCAATACCTTCATATTTATTTTTTGTCTTATGGAGTATTTTTCACCATTTTCATGAGTTGTTGGTCGTCACTCTCTCTATTACCTTCCAACAACTTGCCCGTCTAGGTCACAAATAGTGACGCTGCTGCAATTACTTTTTACTAACATGCCTCAGATTTCTGCACTGATTCTATTTGATATTATTCACAATGTAAAATGCTTTTAGCTATTAGCTTCACTTTTAACTGTTGTAAGCGAGCGAGTGCGGAATCACCACTGAGACAAAGACTAGGCCAAATTACAGGGTCTTTATTGCCAGCGGCCATGGAGGACTGGTGTCTCTCTAACCGTGGCCGGAAAGGAGGGTGTAAAGACCTTTTATGCCCATAATCCACCACCTGGGCAGGGTTGAGGGTGAGGGGCTTCAGACATTCCGAGGCCCAGTTGACTTTGGACATTCTGTAAACCACCTCCTGGGTTGGGGTGAGGGTGAGCAGCTTTGGCTATTCCGAGGGCCAAGGGACTTTGGACATTCTGATTGTTACTTCAGTGGTTCACAGAAGTCAAGAGAAGTGTTCGTTTACGCATTGTCTGGGTAGGGTGGAAATTACAGACCTTAGTTACTTATTACAAGTCACAGGGGCCAAGATGGCCTGGGTTGGGACTGCGTGCCTGTCACAGGGTTACAGAGAGAAGTTTCAACGGAAAGCTGAGGTAGGTTGAGGTATGCAATTTATGGGGCAATTACCACGTCATATAACCATAGGATTATTTTAAAGTAATTTTTGTCAATTTCACAGTTCAAAGAAAAGAGAAAAATATCAAAAGTATATACACACTGTTTTATGTATGTGTATATTTACACACATATATACATTTATGTTTATATGTATTGAAGCTACAGAAGCACATGTCACCAATAAGAGCTCTGAGACCACTTTGATTCCTTACCCTTATCAGATGAGATTTGCCAAGTGAGTTTTGGGAACAAATTTCTTTTAACTGAATTTCTGAGCTTTGTGGACTTAGAAATGCAAAGGAGGGTTTGAGGACCCTCCTTTATGGGGATCATGGTTTTATTCTCCTTGAAACTCTTCCATACTTGCTCATTGTCTTTAGTATAAGTCCAAAATCCTAACACCATGCATGAGGTTTTCAACTACCTGGCTTTGGGGCCAGGCACAGTGGCTGACGCCTGTAATCCCAGCACTTTGGGAGGCCGAGGCGGGTGGATCACGAGGTGAAGAGATCGAGACCATCCTGGTCAACATGGTGAAACCCCGTCTCTACTAAAGATACAAAAAATTAGCTGGGCATGGTGGCGCGTGCCTGTAATCCCAGCCACTCAGGAGGCTGAGGCAGGAGAATTGCCTGAACCCAGGAGGCGGAGGTTGCGGTGAGCCGAGATTGCGCCATTGCACTCCAGCCTGGGTAACAAGAGCAAAACTCAGTCTCAAAAATAAATAAATAAATAAAAAATAGCTGGCTTATTGTGATTTCTCCAGTCTAATTGTTTACCCTGCTTCCCCTCAGCCTCTCTGCTTTAGTGAACTTTATTCCAGTTTTTTAAAGAGGCTTATCAATTCAAGCTTTTGTACATGTTATTTGTTAAACCTGAAATGTGCCTCCCATTTTATCCGAACAGACACACAGGATCCCCTCTGCCCCGTGGCTCACACCTGCTTAACCTGTCAAGTCACCTCTGAGCTGTCACTCTTCAGAGGGTCCTTCTCTGGCACCCTGATGTAACTGAGATCATCCTGTTTTTCTCTGCTCTAGAATCCACACTTCCGACATTTCCCATTCCTGTGTAAGCTCCTGTGTGTTGAGTTTTGGACATCATTTCACTGCTCTTTAAGCTCCGCCAGCGGAGTGGAGAGGTCTATTTCCCTTGTTTGGATTCCTAGAGGCAGCGCAGGCGTGGCACAAGGTCATCACCAAGGAACTGTTCACAGGATGAACGCCATGGGGCTGTTGAAGGAATGGGTAAAGCCTGTGGGATGAGAGAAGGGGCAGAGTTTCTTTGCCCTGGGGTGGAGGCTCCCAGGAGGAGGTGGCACGGGCTGCAGTGCTGGGCGGATCCTCCTCCAGCTCCTGCTTGGAGGTCTCCAGAACAGGCTGGAGGTAGGGAGAGAGTCCCAAAAGACTTGGGATCAGAGGTGATTTCATTGTACCCGAGCGAGTCGAGGAATGTGCCACACTCTGAGAATGAATTATGAGCCCTTTATTAGGCCGGTGACTGAGAGTGGCTACCTCCCAAAATTCTCTCGGCCCTGAAGAAAAAGTGAGGTGGTCTTTTATACACTAGTTTTAACAGGAAGGGAGGACCTAGCTGAAACAAAGTTTTCACAAAGGCAGAGTATGCAAAAAGTTAAAAAGAAAAACAGATACATCAGAAATAAAACAGTGCCAGGCGTGAGGAGTACAGCTGTCATGAAAGACATAAACTTATAGATAAGGCGGGCTCTGGGCACTCACTGCAGCTGCATTTCCAGGCTCTGCTCATACCACTCAGCTCAGCCTCTTAACAAGGGCATTTCTGGGTGCCCGGAGTCAGTCTGCCCTTGCTTTATACTGTAGTTACATCCTTAATGGGGAGAGGGTTACTAAAATGAAGAAGCCAAGATGGAGTCTGTCCGGCTCAAGAAGCTAAGGTAACACCTGAACAGCTTTTATCCAGGAAAGGAGAGTTCGTTTTAGCTGGCAAAAAGCAGGGTATCGCAATTTTCCCGCCTGGCGCCCCAGCCCGCCTCCGCCTCAGGAAGACAAAGGATGAGCCCCTGGGCTGCATGTGGTCGGGGTTACCGGTGGGGCCGGTCAAGGTTCCCAGAGCCCGCACCTGCCAGGGAGCCCCGGATGGCAGCGTCGCTGTCAGTGTCTTCCCAGAGGCCTCCCCTGTGACCGGGTCATTTGTGTCCCCACAGCACGTTTCTTGGAGCAGTTTAAGTATGAGTGTCTTCACCTCAACGGGACGGAGGGTGTACGGCTCCTGGTCAGATACATCTACAACCAGGAGGAGTATGTGCGCTTTGACAGCGACGTGGGGGAGTTCCGGGCGGTGACAGAGCTGGGGCGGCCTGCCGCAGAGTACTTCAACAGCCTGAAGGACTACATGGAGCAGACGCGGGCCGCGGTGGACACCGTGTGCAGACACAACTACGGGATTTTTGAGAGGTTCCTAGTGCAGCGGCGAGGTAAGCGTGGTGGGGAGGAGCCCCCTGTAAGCTGGGAATCAGAGAGAGAGAGAGAGAGACAGAGAGAGACTGAGAGAGGGAGACAGAGACTGAGAGAGACAGAGAGAGAGAGAAAGAGACAGAGATACAGAGAGAGACTGAGAGAGACAGAGACCGAGAGAGAGAGAGAGAGACCGAGAGAGAGAGAGAGGGAGAGAGAGACCGAGGGAGAAAGAGAGACAGAGGGAGAGAGAGAGAGCGAGAGAGACCGAGAGGGCGCCATCTGTGAGCACTTAGAATCCTCTCAATCCTGAGCAGGGAGCTCTGAGGGCACAGGTGTGTGTGTAGAGTGTGGATTTGTGTGTGAGGCTGTTGTGGGAGGGGAGGCAGGAGGGGGCTTCTTCTTATCCTTGGAGGCCTCTGTGGGGAGGTGACATGGGAGGTGGCTGCAGGGCTGGAGAGGGAGGAGACCCGGATTGTCCTGGGTCCTTAGAGATGCAGGAAGGGAAATGTGAGGTGTGTGTGGCTGGGGTGAGGGTTTAGGGGAGGGGAGCTGAGGGGTGTGGGAGGTTTGGGGTAGTGTGAGGAGGCCAGCTCCAGATGTCCCTGCACACACCCTTCATGCAGTCTCTGAAATCAAAGTGTGCGGTGCTTGTTTGCAAAAGCATCGGATTAATTTTTAGGGGAGCTGAGGAGACCTCTGAGGCCTCCCGAAGCTTCTTTATGTCTAAATTTTTTAGGTCTTTTCTTTTGTTCCCATAGTGTATATATTTTTACATAGTTAAAACGACTGTGAAACTAACTTTAATTGAAGTTTAACACACTGTTACTATTTAGTTATAATGCTCATACTCTCCTAGCAGTTACATATTGCTCTTTCATATATAATAGTTGGGACTTAACTCACTTCACTTTCCCCTTTGTTGACCTTTATTATGACATTCACCAAAAAGTGAAAATGTATGTTTCTGATTCATTTTTAATTTATACTTTTTGATTTGTAATGCTTTTGAATTATTCTGACCTCTTTATTGGCCAGTTATAATTTCTGCTCTAAGAATTCCCTATTGTATTTGGTTTGAAATGAACAATTATCTTTTGTCTGTTATCTCTAGAGCTTAGTATTTTTCTGGGTGATTTTGTGGGTTCTTTGTACTGTAAGATTATTAACATTTTATTTACATTAGATTTCACATTTTCTCCAGTCTGTGGTTTGTATGTTGATTTTGAACATTTTTTTCTATGTTAAGAATTTGAACATTTTTATTTAATCAAATAAATTGCAAAATTTTTATTAATGATTTACTATCCATCTTAAATCTACCATTTTGTCATATTGTTGTCTCCAGGTTTCTGTGGGGAGAGACAGCGAGGGGCAGACCTGTGTTACTTATAGTTAAGTGATTCCAAGCTTGCTTTGCCTTTTATACACTGAGATTTGTGCCACGGATCATACCCAAACTATGGTGCAGTAAAATAAAAGCAGAGATCAAGAAGTAACAGGAGGCCTATGGCAAGGACCATCTGAGAGCCCCGACAACCCTGGAACACTGCGGTGTGGCTGCAGAGCAGGAAAAACTGCTTTGGTCCCAGGACTCTTCCCAGCATAGAGTGTGTGTGAGGATCTCCTAAAGGGAGCTTATGCAGAAGACTCTGGGAAGGAAATGCAACATCTGCTCATAAGACTCAGGAGGGTCTTCACAGACGGGTGCTAGCAAGGTGGGAAAGCCTTGCAGGGCAGACACCTGAATGCCACAGGCTCTGCCTATGTTCTCAGAATATGGGGCAATTCTGATTGCTCTGGGTCCACAATGCTTGGGAGATAAAAGCCCCTTGATGCATGTATGTGTGGTCAGACCTTATAGTGCCTACTGACTGCACCTCTCTTGCCAAAACACCTGGATAGACAATGGGTGGTAAAATCTCAGTGTCCTTAGTTAGCATTTCTTAGGAGAACCTCCTATGCTACCGAATGCTGCAGACACATGCTCTTCCTCCTGTTATCTTCCTCCTCAAACCCCCTCCCCAGAGCCTGCAAGATTAACACGATAATTTACCTATTAAGAGCGCTTGGAGCCCAGAGCTCCATGCCAACACGGATCACCGGATCACCCTGCTAGAGTGCTTTGGACCCCTGGACCAATGCTTTAAAATTCTATTCTTCGGTCTTTGTCTTTATTCCTGTTCTCACTCCCTAGGCACTGCCAGGAGATGGGGCCTCTATGTACAGGGTTGGGCTGGTTCCCAACATGTTTCTCCTTCCTTCTTAAAAAAAAAAAAAAATTGTATTTATTGAGAGTCTGCTAGTGTCAGGGATTTTTCTAGGCATAAACACCCCAAGTAATGATTCCCAGAACCTGCCTTAATCCAAATGTCATGCTGGAAAAAAAAAAATCATTTTACAGTGACAGGTCTAATGATAGTGAGGCTTATTTTGCATTGGCCATGCATTGATCAGCTAAATATATATAGAAGAACTTCCAAAACTAAAACGACTTTTCTTAATCTTTCTCTCTGTTTTAGGACTCATGCTTTTCTAGGAAATTAAAGATTTGGAGAATCATTTTTGTCTGTTTCATCTTCCCAGGGGCAGAACCATTTCTGTGGTGTTCTAAGGTGTGAGTGCATGGCCGTAGGATTCCTAAACATTCATCCTTGGTTTCCTCATGCACCTTACTCTGTCCCTTTACCTTTCCACATTGCTCTAAATCACATTTTTCTCTCCAGGTGTACAAGGATGATAAACAGGTGCCAAGTGGAGCACCCAAGTGTGATGAGCCCTCTCACAGTGGAATGGAATGAGAAGCTTTCTTTCTGACCTCATAAATTGAAGGCTTATATTCAGTCATTGTTTATATGTTTAAATGCATTAATCCTCATATGACCCCAAAAGATAAATTAGTGTAATTATCCTCCATCATAGGTGAGAAAGTTGAGACACCGAAGAATAAAAACCTCTTTCAGGATCAACCAGTAAAAGGTAGACCTTAGATCTGACCCAGACATTGTGGCTCAGAAATCAGTTTTTAGTAACACAATCTGTATTTTCAAAGATGTGTAAACACTTTGACAATGCATGCCAATTTTAAGCTATGAAGATACAAACATCATTTTTCACATCTCTCAACTCTTGTGAGTCCCCACTATAAATATTAAATTCCAGGCTGCTGACACCGTGAGGCCACATGGCCATTTGTGCTGGAGACCCAGTCAAGGCCAGAGCCTGGGTTTACAGAGAAGCAACAAACAGCCGAACAAGGAGACTTGCTCTGTCCTCCTGACTCATTCCCTCTCTCTTTTGTTCTCCCAGTCCAACCTAAGGTGACTGTGTATCCTGCAAAGACCCAGCCCCTGCAGCGCCACAACCTCCTGGTCTGCTCTGTGAGTGGTTTCTATCCAGGCAGCATTGAAGTCAGGTGGTTCCGGAACGACCAGGAGGAGAAGACTGGGGTGGTGTCCACAGGCCTGATCCACAATGGAGACTGGACCTTCCAGACCCTGGTGATGCTGGAAACACTTCCTCAGAGTGGAGAGGTTTACACCTGCCAAGTGGAGCACCCAAGCGTGACCAGCCCTCTCACAGTGCAATGGAGTGAGCAGCTTTCTGACTTCATGAATTTCTCACCCACCAAGGAGAGGATTCCGCTAATCCCTGAGTGTCAGGATTCTCCTCTCCCATATCCTATTGTCATTGGCTCCATGTTCTCATCTCCATCAGCACAGGTCACTAGGGGAAGCCCTTAAAGCTGGCATGCCTACCAGGAAGGAGAGGCTGTCCCCCTTTTGAACCCCACCTACATAATGTCACAGGTCAGAGTCATCTGCTCTCTCTGGGCTCCAGACCCTTCCTCTGGGTCTGAGACTGTGTTTCTGCTGCTGTTACTGTGAGTCGTTTCTTGTGAACTGAGAAGAGGAAAACTGTAGGGGCCTTCCTGACATGAGGGGAGTCCAGTCTCAGCTCTGCCTTTTATGAGCTCTGTCACTCTAGACAAACTACTTGACCTCATTGAGTCTCAGATATTCTGTTGATAAGATGCTGAAGTCTTGCCTTACATGAAGGCTATAATATTTGAATGAGTCTGAAGCCTGAACTTTGTAACCGTTTAGTGTGGTTTGAAAACCTTTTTTTCTCCAGAAATGGTCAGTTATTTTAGTTTCTGCAGGGCAGCCTTCCCCCCATGTTCAAAGCTCTGAATCTCAGGGTCTTAATTGAGGACGTTCAATTTGTGATAAAAATCACTAAACCCGGCTTCCTCTCTCAGGAGCACAGTCTGAATCTGCACAGAGCAAGATGCTGAGTGGAGTCGGGGGCTTTGTGCTGGGCCTGCTCTTCCTTGGCGCAGGGCTGTTCATCTACTTCAGGAATCAGAAAGGTGAGGAGCCTTTGGTGGCTGACTTTCTCTCCATAGGCTTTTCCAAAGGAGGAAATATGGCTTTGTGGAGGTTCTCAGTATGTCAGTGGCCCTGGATAAAATCTTTCTTTCCCCAAAAGACCTCCAATGTCCTGCTAATCCAGACGTCCTCGGTGTCAAAGCATAATAGCTTGTGGCCTGTAAAGATAAGAGAAAGGTTAACAAGTAGTTCTTTGGTTTGAGAGCCTGGAGTAAATTAAGTAAGAGCCACTAAGACAAACGCAGTTACACTGGATACCGTGACCGACACCTCACGATTCATGGGTCCCATGGTCTGTTTCTGCTCCTCTCTGCCCTGGTTGGTGTGGGTTGTGGTGTTAGAGAAATCTCAGGTGGGAGATCTGGGGCTGGGACATTGTGCTGGGGACAGATTTGCTTACCTATCTTTTAAGTGTATATCTTTTCCTCATTTTCCTAGGACATTCTGCCCTTCGGCCATCAGGTAATACCTTTTAATCCTCTTTTAGAAACAGATTTGGTTTCCCTAGAATGTGGTAGAGGTGATAAGGAACAAGACAGAAATAATAGGAAAGACTTTTGCATCCAAATTTGTGATCAGGCAATTTACACCAAAACTCCTCTCCACTTGGAAAAGGCCTGTGCTCTGCAGGTATTGGCTCAGGGAGACTAAGGAGCTTGATTTTCAACTTCCTGCAGTGCCCTCATCTGAGCCCTTGAAAGATGTGAAAAGACGCTATTGGTACAGCCCGGTCTGAACACAACACTCTCCTCTGTCTCTGCAGGAGTCGTTAGCTGAAGTGAAGGTGACCACATTCAAGGAAGAACCTTGTGCCCCAGCTTTGCAAGTGAAAAGCTTTCCTGCTTGGCTCTTCTTCTTCCACAAGAGCTTTCTCAGGACCTGTTTGCTACTGGTTCAGCAACTCTGCAGAAATGTCCTCCCTTGTGGCTTCCTCAGCTCCTGCCCTTGGCCTGAAGTCCCAGCATTGATGTCTATGCCTCAGGGTCAACTTTTGTGCTCCCCTTTACATAACCCTACAACCTCCCATGCTCTCTACTCACCCTGTGCCACAAAAACGTTACATTATTAAATTTTTCGTAAACATGGAGTTACAAATCATCTGTCCATTTGGCTTCAAGGACAAAAGTAAAAAGAAAAGAAAAAGGGAAGATTACTTCCCAATAGAATAATGGTATATATATACATGAATATCTTAAGTATGTGAGGTAATGCATTATATTACATAGCTTGATTTAGACATTCAACACTATAAGCATATATTAAAACTTCATGCTATACAACAAATATACAATTTTTACTTGTCAATAAGAAAGTAAACCTTACATTTGAAAAGGCAATAAATAAAAACTGAGAACAGACTATCACAACTGAAGCAAACTTGGCAAACATGAGATGAGAAACCAGCTAACAAGTCCATCAGAACTCTTTCTTAACTCCATCTACGATATTGTGTATCTATAACTGTAAATTAGTATATAGTTCTTCATTTCAGAGAAAGACAAATTTAGAAGATGGAAGGTTCTCCATTGCGTTCTATCTGAGAGTCAGTATCCAATATGTCCAATCCAATAATACATAATCAATTCAAAAGTTTATTTCAAACTAATAATCATTCGAGCCTAATTTCTTTACTGTCAGAGACAACTGTTTTCAATCAAATTCAATGTTTGATGCACATTTTACTTTTAGTTATATGTTACTTGTGCATACATAGCAGTACAAGTACATATAAATCCTATAAGAATACATAGGCTATAGGGACATATTAAGCTGATAATTATGCCTCTTCTATTTAATCCCAGAGTTAGAACAAATAGGCTTTTTTCCCTAAGCTGAGGAAATGATTTGTCTCATTCTTTTATTTGAGACCTGTGGTGTGGAATTATAAGGTAGAACTAAAATGTGTGGGGTGAGTACTTCAGTTAAGATATCTCTGCTGTTGATAGGAGGAAACCCAATCTGGTGGGCTTTATTTTCTTTATCTCATTATCTCACATAGCTGACAAATCCTGGGCATCTCCAGGTTTGCTCAACTCAGTAGGCCAATGGCATCACCAGCGATCCTGGAACTTTATCTCTCATCCTATAAGAATATATATCCTATAGGGACATAATAAGCTGATAATTACGCCTGTTCTGTTTGATCCCAGAGTTACAAGTAGGCTTTTTCCCTAAGCTGAGGAAATGACTTGTCTCATTTTATATTGTACTTGTGGTGTGGAATTATAAGGTAGAACTACAATGTGTGGGATGAATATTTCAGTGAAGATGTCTCTGCCGCTACTAGCAGGAAATCCGATCTAGAGGGTTTCATTTCTCTTTAACCATTGTCTCACACAGCCCATAGATCCAAGGCTGGGCATCTCCAGGGTTGCTCAACTCAGTAGGCCACTGGCAGCACCAGCGATCCTGGAACTTTATCTCTCATCTCTCCATCACACACAGCACCTCAGCTTTCCCGGGGTGGCAGGAGAACCCTTAGGTTTCTTATTCTTTCACAACAATTCGCAAAGGCAGGAAAAGGATACTACTTGTTCCTGTGTGCCTTCATAAGGTGCAACTAAACTGTTTCCAGATTATTCCCAGTACCCACTTTCTCACACATTGGAATGACCGTGGGATCACACGGGCTCAGACAAGCCAGGATTCAACCTTTGTAGACCGGGCCTGATGCACATGGGAAGAAAAGAGGCAAAACCATGCATTTCTTTAAAAACAAAGAAATGGTGGACGGAGTAGAAGAGACTGATTTCAGAGTAGGGAAATGATAGATTGTGGTACTCTTAAGTTGTTAATATTTGTAACTAAATTCACTTGAAGGAGTTTCTATCCTTTAGGCATCCTCAATTCAGGGTTTTGGGTGTTTTAAAATATATATATAGAAAAATGACAGCCATTAACTCAATTACAATAAAATGAAAAAGCAAGCAGAAAGGACTGTTTTTATAACTCAATTAAGCATGCTGACATGTTATTTTATGAGGTAAATATATTTTCCAGGGAAATTTTTGAAAAAAAATAAAAGGAATGACTAGCTCTGTAAGGTGGTAAAATATACTATACATTTATTTTTATAAATGCATTTGTTACTTTTTTTATTAAATATACTATTGAAACAGAGCCTAAAATTAGAAAGAATTGGGATTTCGATTCAGTTTCTGGTAAGTTGTATTTCAAAATTATATCTTTCACTAAGTGGATCCTGGATGAATAAAAATTGAAACATAAAAGAGAAAATATAAAATTAGCAATACAGATGTTAATTCTAATACTATCATCATCATTATAATTGTGTTTGAAGACAAACAGACTTTCTAAACCCTTATGTGGTATTGGCAGGAGTGCATGATTTAACATATACCTGGAAATTTGGCAGTTTCTTAAAAAGTTAAACATATGTTTGCCATATGACCCAGCAATTTTACTCCTTGGAATCTACCAAAGAGACATAAAAACATATGTCCTCACAAAGATATGTGTTCAAGTGTTCAGAACAGCCTTAGCCATAGTTGGCCCAAACTGAAAACAATCCAAATTTCCTTCAGCTAGTAAATGGTTAAACAAAATGTAGTAAACTATTTCTCCCCCCACCAAAAACTGACAAATACAATGGCTTGTTTAAAAATCAAGGATTTAGAAGATTCTATGAGAATATTTTCTCCCATATTATTAGGATTGTGAGCGGATGACAGTGTGGTAATATCTATTAAAATTCAAAATGCAGTTGTTACATGCTTGATGAAAACACAAAAATCCCATTCTAAACATCTGTCTTAAAAAAACACAATCCTACATAAGCCCAAAGAGTCATGAAATTGGTCCTTTGTTGAGCCACAGTTTGGAATAACAAAAACATTTTCAAATTCTAAAAGAAAAACTGATTATTTATTTGTGTTGATGATAAAACTTTAGTACATCATGAAAACGATGCAGTATGTGAAGTCACAGCACACTGCAAGATGACATTTGGTGCTCTGTGCAGCACTGTGAGGATATACTGGAGTAACTCTATGAGTAGTTTGGATAACACAGGATTTCCGCTCTAAGTTTTTACAGTTCCAGTAAATTTTTCCTTGTATGACCATAACAACATGTAAAAATGTAACAGGAGAGAAAAGAAACATTCTCAACATGTAGATGGAAGAAAAGTAAATTGCGGTATAGCCATAGAAAGGAATAATACACAGGGCTTTAAGTAAATTATGTAGGAATATCAACATGGATTGGAAAAGAATCGTAAACCACAATGCCAGTTAGGAAGTAGATAATTACCAGAATTATCACTGTTACTATAAGAACAAAAAATATAAAGAATAAATTAAATGGATAAACTGGAAAATAATCTTTTTTTTTTAATTTTAAAGAGCAGTGGATTAAAAAGTATAAGAATTCCAGGCCAGGCACAGAGGTTCATGCCTGTAATTTCAGCATTTTGGGAGGCCGAGGAAGGTGGATCATGAGGTAAGGAGTTTGAGACCAGCCTGGAGAATACGATGAAACCCCATCTCTACTAAAAAAAAAAAATACAAAAATTAGCTGGGCATGGTGGTGGGCACCTGTAGTCCCAGCTACAAGGGAGGCTGAAGCAGGAGAATCACTTGAACCCGGGAGGAAGATGTTGCAGTAGCTAAAACCATGCCATTACACTCCAGCCTGGTGACAGAGAGAAACTCTGTCTCAAAAAAAAAAAAAAAAGGTATAAAAATTCTAAATTCCAGAGATGAACAAATTCCACATAGGTGAGCAGGGACAAGTGTCCACTCTTACTCTTTGGTCCATCTACTGAATCTTAACCTGGGTGAAGATTGAGCCTGGCTGAGAAAGGGAGATTGTGAGGGAGTGAGGACAAACCAGCTGAGTTGTAACTACCCCTGTGGGAGTGTGTGATGCATTACGATCTATAGAGACCCCCTGAATAACATGTATCTACTTTACCTCGCCAGCTGATTCTCCTTCCAGAACTTTTTCTGACTTCATGCTGGTGGTGTGGGAACTAGGGAGGTAGAGAGAAGACAACAAACATCTCTGTAGCTTCATGTAAACAAAGATCAGGAAGGAAATCAAGATAGCAACAATACTTTCAACCATCTTGTCTTAGTTGGCATTTATAATTGACATTTATATATTTACAACATCTGAGAACTACAGAATATTTATCTGTTTACATTGCAAAAAGATTATCCATGAAATAGAACAAATACTCTAACTATAAAACTAGTCTCAATTACTTTCACAAGAATAAAATTGGACTGGGCACGGTGGCTCATGCCTGTAATTCCAGCACCTTGGGAGGTCGATTTGGGCAGTCAAGGTGGCTCACTTGAAGTCAGGAGTTTGAGACCAACCTGTCCAAGATGCTGAAACCCTGTCTCTACTAAAATTACAAAAATTAGCCAGGAACAGTGGCTGGCACCTGTAATCCCCGCCACTCAAGAGGCTGAGGCAGGAAAATCGCTTAAACCTGGGATGCAGAGGTTGCAGTGAGCCAGGATCATGCCACTGCACTCTAGCCTGGGTGACAGAGCAAGACTCTGTCTCTAAATAAATAAATAAATAAATAAATAAAATAAAATCATACAGAGTATCACAGTCTTATCAAATTACGAATTAGTAAGACTGAGAAAATTGCCCACATTTTTAAAAGTAAAGTAATACATACCTAAATAATCTATGGCTTGTTAAAAAGGAAATCAGAAGAAACATTTGAAAATAATATTACATAAAATAATATTAAAATGAATTTAAAAAATTTTTTATATGCAACCAAAGCAGTCCTTAAAGAAAAGTATTTAGTGTTAAATGCTTATATTATAAAAATATAAACATGTAAAAATCGAAGATCTAAACTTTTAACTTAAGAATCAAAAAAAGCAAATTTAACATGAAAAAGTAGAAGAAAAAAACAAAGAGGTGAGGAAATTGATACAATTATTTTCTTGGTTTTGTTTTCTGTTTGTTTATGATAGTGCATAATTGTGTTAGTCCATTCTGACATTGCTAAAAAGAAATACCTGAGGCTCGGTAATTCATAATGAAAAGAGGTTGAAGTGGCTCAGGGTTTTGCAGGCTGGACAGGAGGTGTGGTGCTGGCAATTGCTCCTGGTGAGGGCCTCAGGAATCTGACTTTCCTGGGGGAAGGAAAGGGAAG